ATAAGAAAATTGTAGAATTCCAAAGACAAAAATCTTTTTTTTTTTTTTAATCTATTTTTATGTGGTGCTGAGGATCAAACCCAGGGCCTCACATATGCTAGGCAAGTGCTCTACCACTGAGCCACAACCCCAGCCCCAAGACAAAAAGATCTTAAAAGGAACAGAAAACATTATGAATATAGACATGAAATCCTCAGCAAAATATTAGTAAGCTATTTCATGCTTCTATAATTGTTAAAATGAACCCCAAGCTGGTTTTGGTGGGCATGCCTGTAATCCCAGAGGCTAGGGAGGCTGAGGCAGGAGGATGGTGAGTTCAAAGCCAGCCTCAGCAATGACGAGGCACTAAGAAACTCAGTGAGACCCYGTCTCTAAATAAAATACAAAATAGTGCTAGGGGTGTCGCTTAGTGGTTGAGTGCCCCTGAGTTCAATCCCTGGTACCCCTCCAAAAGATAAACCCTGACATTGTGTGTATCTATTATAAGAACTAATAAAAAATTTCAGGGGAAAGATACTAACAAATTGAATCCAACAGCATATTAAAAACCCAAAAGCATTTATTCTAAGAAGACAAGATTGGTTGAACATAGGAAATCAATGTAATATGCATATAATTACATGATCATCTTAATTGATGCAGAAAAAGTATGAAAAAATCCAACCCCCTTTCATGGTGAGAAACACTTTCTCTAAACTCGGAATAGATGGAACCATCCTCAAATTAATCTACAAAAAACCTGCAGCTCGAATCATACTTAAAGATGAAAGGCTGGAAGCTTTATTCTAAGATGAGAAACAAGACAAGTTTATCTTCTCTCACCATTTCTTCCCTCCCTCCCTCCCTCCCTTCCTTCCCTCCCTCCCTTCCTTCCCTCCCTCCCTCCCTCCTTCCCTTCCCTCCCTCCCTCCCTCCCTCCCTCCCTCCCTCCCTCCCTCCCTTCCTCCCTCCCTTCCCTCCCTCCCAGGGCCTTGTGCATACAAGGCAAGCACTCTACCAACTGCCCTATATCCCCAGATCTCCCACCATTAGAGAGAGTTTTTAGCCAGGGCAATTAATCATGAAAATAAAATACTGAGCTCGGGGTATTGCTCAGTAGTAGAGCATTTACCTAGCATGTAAAAGGTCCTGGGTTCAATACCCAGCACTGCAAAAGAATAATAGTAATAAATACATAAATAAAATATAAACAGCATTCATATTGTAAAGGAAGTGAAACTATCTTTAGTCACAAATGAGAATATCTATGGAAAACTATGGAATCTGCACTATTAGAACTAATGAATGAGGGGCTGAGGCTATGGCTCAGTGGTAGCGCACTTGCCTGGTATGTGTGAGGCACTGGGTTCAATTCTCAGCACCACATATAAATAAATAAAGTTCTATCAACAACTAAAAAAATTTTTATAAAAAGAACTAATGAATGAATCATCAAGGTTGCAGGATATAAGATCAGTATACAAAATAATAATACAAAATTGTGCACTAGGAGTGAACCATTCAAAAATAGGTTTGGGGAAGACTTGATATTCTCAGGGTATCGTTACTGTCTAGAGCATTCTACAGATTTATTGCAAACCGTCAAAATGTCTATTGCCTTTTTTTGAGGAAACTAACAAATGGATCCTAAAATTTATGTGAAAATAGGTGACCCAGAACAGCTAAATCAATCTAAGAAAAGAACAAAGTGGAAGATTCACAGTCCCCTGTCTCACAACATATTACATGTAGAGCCATTATGTTAAGCAAAATAAGCCTGACATAGAAGGTCAAGGGTTGTATATATTCTCCCATACGTGGAAATTAGAGGGGAAAAGGAAAAGAAAGGTGGTAGGGATGTTTCTCAAAACACATAGAATGTTTGACACCCAGAGTAAATTTTGAGGGGTAATGATGCACCTGTRTAGCTTCATCTAGTGCCAAGTATTGACAGTGAGGGAAGTCATGCGTGTGTAGGGACAGGTACAATGGGAATATATTTTCTACTCAGTTTTGTTATGAACCTAAAAAGTCTCCAAAAAATAAATTCTACTAAAAAAGAAAAAAAATAGCCCACAAAATTGGAGAAATTTGTAAACCATATGTAAGAAGGGTCTAGTACCCTTAATATATAAAGAATTCTTACAACAAAAGACAATTTTTAAAAATGGGCCCTGAGGACTGGGGGTGTAGCTCCCTGGTAGAGGACTTGTCTAGCAGGCTTAAAGGCCGTGTACTTGATCCTCAGCACCACAAAAAATGTGTGGGGGCAATGAATTTTGAAAGCTATTTCTCCAACAAATAGTCAACAAGCACTTGAAAAGATGCTCAACATCAGTAGCTATTAGAGAACTACAAGTACAAAACCACAGTGAGTTTGTGGTGGTGCATGCCTATAGTCTCAGAWATTTGGGAGGCTGAGACAGGAGGACCCCAGGTTCAAGGCTAGCACCAGCAACTTAACAAGACCCTATTTCAGAATACAAAAATCAAAGGACTGGAGTTGTAGCTTAGTGCTAAAACATGATTGTGTTCCATTCACAGTACTGGAAAAGAAAACAACAATCCAGTTAGGTGCTTATCCACTAGGCTACCTATAAATTAATCAATTGTTATTTTTAAGCCAGAAAATAACTAATAAGGGGTATACAGAAGTTGGAACCCTTATACATTGCTCATGAGGATATAAAGTGGTTTAGCTAATGTAGAAAACTGTTTTGGCATTTTATCAAAAAATTAGAGTCACCATTTGAACCAGCAGTTCTCCTAGGAATATTCCCAAGAGAATAAAAAAMCATTGATGTAGAAACTTTTTTACACAAACACTCTTAACAATGCTATTTATGATAGTTAAGAAGTGGAAACAACTGAAACGTTCATCAGCTGACAAAGGATAAAGAAAAGGTGGCATATCCATAGAATGATAAAATAGAATACTGATAACTGCTATATCATAGATTAACCATGGAAACAATATGCTAAATGAAAAGAAGCCAGATACAGAAGGGCACATAATGTTTGATTCCATTTATGTGAAATGTCTAGAATATGTAAGACCTTAGAAGCAGAAAATAGATTAGTGGTTACCAGGTGCTGGGTGTAGAGTGAGTCAGAGTGACTACTAACAGGTGCAGGGTTTCTTTTTAACTTTATGAACTTATTGTAGGTTAGAGATGATTTATGAATAGGCTTGCAAGGACCCTAAGAAACCACTGAGTTAAAATGGTTAAGTGGTGAATTTTATGATATGTGACACATAGCTTCTTGTAGAGTGATGTAGGTCTACTACAGGATGAGAACAGAACATCATAAAGTAACAAAGACTACTAGGGATAAGACTGGGGTTGTAACTCAGTGGTAGAGCGCTTGTATAGCATTCTCAGCCAGATAGATAGATTGGTAGAGAGAGAGAGATTGATAGATAGATAGATAATCATCAACAGCTAAAAACTATATTTTAAAAAAAAGATTTGTGTGTGTACAAGGGATTGAACCCCAGAGGTACTAAATCCCTGAGCCACATCCCCAACCTTTTTATATGTTTTATTTGGAGACAGGGTTTTGCTGAGTTGCTTAGCTCCTCGCTGTGTTGTTGATTCTGGCTTTGAACTCGCAATCTTTATGCATCAGCCTCCCAAGCCACTAAGCCTGGCACTGAGCCTGGCAAGAATTAAAAAAAAAAAAAAATGACTACTAGGATCATGTTACAGGGATTCAGGAACCAAATTCAAGAGTCTCCTACAGATAAGACAGGCTGCATATCCAAAGGAGCAAGTAGGAGACTGAAGCATATCAACATTTCATAATAGTACTTTTTAAAAAAAATTATTTATATAGGTATCTTTGGTTTTAGGTAGATACATTAGTTTGTTTTTATGAGGTGCTGAGGATCGAACCCAGTGCCTCTTGCATGCTAGGCGAGCACTCTACCACTGAGCCACCACCCCACCCCAGTACTTTTTTTTTCCCCAGTACTTTTTTTTATATATATTTTTTAGTTGTCAGTGGACCTTTATTTATTTATATATGGTGCTGAGGATAGAACCCAGTGCCTCACACACGCTAAGCAATTAAAAGTTTAAAAAAGAAAAAAAGCCAAAGGGCTGGGGCTATAGCTCAGTGGAAGAGCACTTGCCTTGCATGTGTGAAGTACTGGGTTTGATCCTCAGCACCACATAATAATAAATAAATAAAGTTATTGTACCAACTACAACTAAAAAAATTAAAACAAAAATAGCCAAGTGCAATAGTGCATACCTATACCTCAGCTACTCAGGAAGCTGAGGCAGAAGGTTTGCTTTAGTCCAGGAATTGAAGCCAGCCCAGACAACATAGCAAGACACCTATCTTAAAACGAGAAAAGAGAAAAGAAAGCCTGTGCCCAGCAGAACATGGTGGTACATACCTGTAATCCCAGTGGCTTGGGAGGCTGAGGCAGGAGGATTGTGAGTTCAAAGCCAGCCCCAGCAACTTCACAAGGCTCTAAGCAACTCAAGGGCTGTGGGGATGTGGCTCACTGGTTGGGTACCCCTGAGTTCAATTCCTGGTACCAAAAATAAAATGTTCCAGGGACCTTTTATTGTTTGAAAGAAGGGTGAAAGTATTGATTCACTTCAGTTTATAAGTTTAATGTGCTGGTTAAAATTATTGCCAATCATTACAGGAAAGAGTTTATAATTTCCAAGGAGAAGGTAATAAAGAAAGAYATGCTAGGGATATACCTCAGTTGGTAGAGTGCTTGTCTGATAGGCATGAGTCCTTGGGTTCCGTCCCCAGAGCCATGAGAAGAGAGAAACTGTAAAATGAAATAGTAGAATAAATCCAAATATACCATTCCTAATGGACTAAATTCCATAAACTTGAAAGATTGGCACTCAGAGAGAGAAAACCTGGTACATATCGTTCATGTAAGACATCTCTCTAACTTAATACAACAAGATTGAAATAAAAGAATAGAAGGGATAGAGTTGTGAAACTATGTTCTTTAGAGAGCATAAAGATTTTATTTTTTCTCTCTCAAGGTTAAAGAAGAAGGAATTTAGTTTAGAAGAAATATATACCAACAAGAATTATAAGTCTCCTCCTGCAAACAGGTAGGTACATGTGGATGGGAAATTTAAAAAAGGTGGGCGGAAAGAATTCTGAAATGATTGATATAAATATCTAGAACTTCAGAAGGGTTTCAGCTCTATCAATATTGTTACTTATGAATAACTAGAATTTGGTATTTTTTGATCCCTCTGCTTAAATTGTGGTCAGTGGTAGAATAGGAAAGAAATATGTATGGGTTAGATGGACATATAAAATGTAGTTTCTTTGTAGTTTGTATTTGTGTTTTTACCCAATATACTGACCAGCTTCTTTTGGACTGATATATCACTGATCCTCAAATATGAGTCCAATCCCAAGTACATAAAGTTTCTCTCGACCACGTTTGGGTCTGAATTCAGTTCAAGTCTATATGACATTTATTTTGTCTAGGATATAGCCCAATAGTTGTAGGATTTTATACATGTACTCTTAAGACATTTGTACAAGACTATTCATTGCTATATGATAGGACAGGATTTGAAATAATCCAAAATATCCATTGCTGGGATTTTGGTCCATCCTTATAATGGAATATGCTGTATAACTTTAAAAAATGAATCTTATCAATCTGGCTCAACACAGTGGCAGATACCTATAATGCCAGCAGCTCTAGAGGTTAAGGTAACAGAATTTAAGTTCCTGGCCATCCTTAACTGTCTCAAAAAAAAAGGGTTGGGGATGTAGTTCAGTGGTATAGCACCCTAGGTTCAATCCCCAGTACTACCACTGCCAAAAAAAAAAAAAAAAAAATCATCTGATTTATTGTTGTTGTAGTAAATTGGAACAAGTTTAAAGGGTATTGATAGGACAACACATTGTATAAGACAGTATATATGGTTACAGTTTGCTATTGTTTGGGCCATATGCCCAACCATAGGCCAAATTCTAGCCAGTGGCTTTTTTTGTTTGTTTTTTTGTGGTGCTGGTGATTGAACCCAGGGCCTTGTGCATGCAAGATAAGCACTACACCAACTGAGCCCTATCCCCAGCCCCTTTTTCTTCTTTTTAATGAGATAGGGTTTCTCTGGCTTGGAACTCCTAGGCTCAAAGTATTCCCCCACTCTAGCCTCCTTAGTGCTGGGACTATAAGCTGTGTCCCACAATGCCCAGCTTGCTTTTTTTTTTTTTTTAATGACCTATAATAATGGTTTTTACATTTTTGTTGTTGTTGAAAGAAGGAAGGGCTAGGGTTGTAGCATGGGTGAGGCAGTGGATTTGATTCTCAGCATCGCATATAAACAAATGAATAAAATAAAGGTCTGTCAATAACTAAAAATATATATTTAAATAAAAAAAAGAAGGAAGGAAGAGGAAAAAAATTGTAATAGCCACCTATATGGCTCACAAAATTAAAAATGTTAGTACTACCTGAATTTTATAGAAAAGGGTCACTCCCTAATATGTTATTTATGCCTATCTATACACTGAATGGCTTTTGGGAAATTACAAAAAAAAATTATTATTGTCTATGGTGGGAATTAATTTCACTTTTATTCTATATTATCCAGTTTGAACTTTTTCCTCTATGTATACATATACTTATTAATAAATACCTATATTTTTGTTTTCCATACATATAGATAGATGCTAAGAGGAAACAGTTGAGTAGGGAGTAGTTAGTGCAAGTATTTAACAGCTTCTAGTAACTAGAAAGAAAAGGTTAATGAGCCATGTGAGTCAGTCTGTCATTGATTTTGTTTTGTACCCCACCCTCAGGTGTTTAGAGACCATCTTTGAGGAACCCAAGGAACGAAATGGTACACTAATCTCAGTAAGCCAACAGAAGAGGAAGCGAGTTCTAGAATTTCAGGATTTTACAGTACCAAGAAAGAGGAGAGCTCGAGGTAAAGTCAAGTTGACAGGCAGCTTTACCAGGGCCCAGAAGGCAGCTCTGCAGAGTCGAGAACTGGATGCTCTTTTGCTACAGAAACTGATGGAACTAGAGACCTTCTTTGCCAAGGAAGAGGAACAGGAGCAGTCTTCAGGTTGTTGAAACAAATTCAGATAAGAGTCTCAATTTTGTATGTTTTTGGACCTCCCTGGAATAGGTCACCTAATTTTGCCCTTAGGCCCAAACCACTCAAGATGTCCAGTCCATGAATATTTACCTATTTCAAGGTGCAGCCTTTTTAGGAACTGGTAAAGGAGGAACCTCTACTTCTACTGCTGAGTTTAGAACCTCAGGAATGCTCTTTTCTCCTGGAAATGGTCCTGAATGCCATCTGGCCACCTCCTCCCAATCGAAGGAGGAAGGAGGAAGAAGCCACATATCTTAAGCAACACTAGGATTCCAAGGACTCACAGCATTTGCACGTCCAAATGAAAGTTCTGCTTTGTTTACGGTGGTGCTAGACCAAGATTACTTAGAAACATGGCCTAGGGAGGGGGACCTGGTGTCCTGCCCTGTGTGGTCTCACTGGCTCATTTAGGTGGTCAAGAAAAGATGAGCTATTGTGTTTTCTAATCATTTGAGTCTGTCCAGAACCTGTTGGTGTGAGTGTATATGAGTGTGTGCGTGTGTGGGGCCTTTTTCCATCATTTTCTCCCCACTGTGACTGTGGGTCACTAGTGCCAGAGGAGCCCGTCCAGGCCCCAAAGTAAGTTGCACTTTTAATGTTGTGGTGTTGATTATTTTCAGTTTCTTTATTTTTATTTTTTTTTTATTATTATTATTGCTGCATGTTTGGGGCCTTTAAATGTGATTTTTTTTTTTTTTTAAGACATTAAGGAGAAAGACAGTACATGTCCTAGGAGAATACATGTCAGGCATATGACCCAGTTGATCAGTACATGGAGGAAACATTTTCCCATTCATGTGTTTTAAGTAATCCCTCCCCATCTCTAACTTCTAGTGTAGTTCATTTGAGGGAGCACTTTTTCCTCTGGGTTCTCATTCCTGCCCACTAAACACACACATTTTTTATTTTTTTATTAGTATTATTCTTTTTTTAGTGATATAAGTGAAATCAGATTTCTCTTCCAGTCATTTAAAAAAATGCTAAGGTCAAGTGTGGTTTTCTCTCAAATGTTGGTGTGTAACCAAGTTGACTATAGCAACTTTGGTGGTGATCAGAGACCAACCCAGAGTGTTTGCAGCTATCCAAGCAGCCTGCTCCAGGAGTAGGGAGAGAGTCAGGGTAGTAGTTCAGTCCCAGTGATGCATTCTCATGGTGGGATTCTGAAATTCCATAGCCAACCCTCATTAAGGATACCTGGTCAAACCTACTGAAAATGCTGTCAAATGCCTGAAGTAGCTAAGTGTCTTGGTTTGTACCTGCAGGAGTCTGGGCAGCAGGCTCAGAAGTCTCATTCCTTTCCCAATGAATCCCTCCCCCCTCCATCCTTCCCTTATAGTTTCTTTTCTTTTCTTTTCTTTCTTTCTTTCTTTTTTTTTTTAATTTATTTTTTTTATTTCCCTCACTTAAAATAAGAGTTCAGAGAATCAACTTTCCTTGGCTGGTGATATGCTCAAGCCAGCCTCAGGACACTGTTCACCTTTCTTCATCCTCCTAGGAGCCACGGCCACAAAGCAATCACTGATGGAACTGTCATAGCTCCAGGGACATTTCCCAGTCAGAGATGAGCATCTGGTGCCCTCCTGGAATGTTGGATTACTCTTTTAGGATGTTTTGTTTCCCCATTTGTTAGTGGGTGGGGAGATGGGGTGGGGGTTGGGGGGTCTCTATGTGCCTTTCTTTTGCAGGTTAAATTTGTGCCATGCTGGAGCAGAAAAACTGACAAGAACAGGGGAAAAAAAAAAAAGTGCCACGTCTGTCATCCAGGCCCACTGCCTCAGACGTAGCATTTAAACAAGTGACATATATACCTGGATATCCACAGAAGATTCCAAGGCCATGGCCCAATAGGATTAGAAGAGTACCAGGGTTCCATACTGCCTCTGAATGATGCTGGCCAGATTCTGCCATTCTATATCCCCTTTATCCAGACTGTGTGGACATGACCTATGTTTCACTTCAATACCTCTGCCTTTGTTAGACAAGGTTCTTAGGCACTCAGTCCCTCTCTGTCATTTTCCTAGAGAGAGTACAATGAGTAATACATTGTTCCCTTGTACAAACATGTAGGGAGCTCCATTGCCAACCATAGCTAAAGCAGTACTGCGGCAATCGTGTCACCCAGCAGATGAAAGTTGAGAGGGCACAAATGTAGTATCACCAACATGACAGGCATAAAATTTCAAGTTTGCCTATTATAGGCATGGCGCTTGAAAGGTCCTAGAGCAGTGATTTGAAACATTGGCATCTGGGAATGGAGGACTAGGCTCCTGGCTCCTTCCTTATCCTGGAATGTAGGGGAAAAACTGCTCTGAAGCCAACCCTTTCTGTCCTTGGAATTCTTGGCCTATCCTCACCAGAAAGCCCTATCCCTGCTCCAAAAAAGGGGTCCCCATTGCAATCCTGAAATTACCTGAAGTTGCTACATCAGGTTCTAGTAGAACTCAGCCACACCTGTCTTAACATCCAATTTTGCTATTTATCTAGCCAGCTTTGGGGCTGTCAGTGATCCTCAGGATCTGTGGTCACTGACCACAATGGGAGACATTAGTCAGCTGCTGGCATGCCACCTGACCAGGGCCATAAGAGGTCTATTGTGTGCTGGAAGTTGATAAGAATTATGAGTATGGAGACTTCCCACCCCAAGTACTGGGAAGCTGCCATCAGTTACAGTTTATTCAACTATATCACCTCCAGAAGTTTTAGTGTTTTCATGTTTATGAAAAAAGAGGAGAAATCTCAGGTCCAGTCAGGGTTCTGCCCATCTCCTTTTCCATATTTTGATTTCCAGCTATACTGGCCTGGACTCCCCTTACCTCCCCTCCTCCTCTTTTCTATTTCTTTTTTTTTTCCCCTCTTCTTTCCAACTTCATATCTCAATTAGTTTGAACGTACCTCATACTTTTTAAAGCAGATTGTTCACTTTTTCTTACCAACCTTATTCTTAAAAGCTACAGCTGAGGGAGGTAMAGTGAAAAGACGTATAGTGTAGTGTTTGCCTTACTCGGAGCCTGAAGAGCTCAGAAACTCATGCTGTGAATCCCAAAACTCAGTGCTCCTCCAAGAGCTGTGAAAATCATGACACTTTGTCACAATTTTGCCTGAAAGGGTCTTTTGCTTGGGCACCAGAGCCAACCTGAGGTCAATTTCAGATTCTAATCTCTGGGCATTGACTCCCAGTGGTTCATCCCCTGCCCACCAGGTAAAAAGCAGTAGCAAGTATGCAGGACTGTGGCAATAGGTCCAAGGCTGCAGTACAGCCTAACGGGCAGAGAGCCATCACTCCCATCTCCAAGCTGGGATTCCATCTCATCAACAGTTCCATGTACATTAAGATCTGCGAAAGACCAACTTTTGGGCAATGATGCTTTTCTCCCATTGCCTGGGGTGGGAGAGGAGTATGCAGTTGGTGCTTTCTTTAATACCCTTGTTTTGTTTCTATAAACTTTTCCCTTGGTATCATGGAAAGGACCTCTTAAATAACCACATTGTGGGTGGCTGTATCCAAAGTATTAATAATTGGCCAGAGGTAGGGAGTATCCTTGCCTGGATTCATGCCAGGAGAGGACCCCTTGCTTGAACTGAATTTCTGTACAAAGCTGACTAGGGGGAAAGGCTTAACTTCACTAAAATCACAGTTTAATATTACCATCTAGCCACATGTTGAACAGCAGGAACTTTGACTGTGAAGTGGGGGTCCCCATGTAGCCTGTCATTCAGCACAGCATGCTCAGATTTGATGCTTGTTAACTGTCTTCACAAGCCCCTCTTGGTGCTGAATTGGATTTGAATTCTCCATGAGAGGCCGCATCTCCTAGAACCAAGGTCTGGGCCAGTAAGTAGCTGCCTGAAGTGTTTCTATATTATCATGGTCAATAGTTCAGTGAAATTTGTACATTTTTGGTAACATTGGCATACATGATGCCCCTGCAGTTCTTTTTCTGTTTGGTAGTTTGTGACTCTAAAATGCCCACTGTTATGTGTGTTAATTTATGAGAATAAAAATTTTTTGAAACCTTTCAAATAACTGTCAGGGCTGTTAGTTTTATTCTTGTGGTCTAATACTAGATTAAAATTATGCCTGTAATGCCATGAAGTTTTGTTTTATTTTGTGTTTTGTTTTTTAATAGACATTCCAGAACATTTTTTGAGAACTCTTCTGAGCTCAGAACATGTGTAGAATTCCACCTCAAAGGTGACCTCTAGAACCTGCTGTGTAACATTTTGAACATACTCAGCAGTGGCAAATAGTCTTTTTTTTTTTTTTTTAACCAGGGAATAAGGTATTTTGAAATAGTAGTCCTTTTGATCTGAGTTTACATAAGTACACAACAAAGAAATCGCTTGATGATATTTCTCTAATGTTTCTCTGTCAGTAACCAATGCATGATTGTATGCGGTAGGGGTCCAGTAAATAATCTGAGTCATTGACCAACTATGTATGTATTAATTTTATTGACCAAGTGTTCTGTGTGCTTTTTAAATAATGTCACTGACGTTTCTCACATGGCAATTATACAATTAGGTGAAACTATATTTCACATATTTGGATTAAGATTCTAGTTTGCTGAGAACACTATTTGGAGGAATATGAATACAATGGGATCCATTTATTTACTTTTAAAAAAGGAGTCACTTTTTTATTTGTTCTTTTTAGTTATATATGTTAGTAGAATCCATTTTGATAAAATTATACATGCATGAAATATCTTATTCTAATTAAGGTCTCGMTTTTTAATCATCTGTTCTTCCTACTTGAAAGAATGACTCTGAAAAACAGCAATATCACACCATACTCACATGTTTCAGAAAGAAACATGATTTTTCCTGATGATAATGTTCCTCTGTCCAGAGCAACAGGAGTGCCAGGGGATAGGCTCTGACTCAGTGGTAGAGTGCTTGTCTCACATGTGTGAGGCACTAGGTTTGATCCTCAGCACCACATAAATAAATAAAATAAAGTTATTGTGTTCATCTACAACTAATTTTTTTTTAATGTTAAAAAAAAAAAGGAGTGCCCAGTTTTCTTTAATCCTCAGGACTTCTGCAATGTGAAATTCTATCCAGGTCATCTTTGCTATTTGGAAAGCATCCTGTCTGACATAGTTGTGCTTCATTTCACRATTGAGGAAGAGTTGTCCCATCTTTTTTTTAGAAGAGAGACTAATTATCCACTAATGCAGTAGTAGTACTATAACATTTCCTATCACAGAATCTTTTTTTAATGTTTTTTTTTAGTTGTAATTGGACTCAATATCTTTCTTTTACTTATTTATTTTTATGTGTTGCTGAAGACCGAACTCAGGGCCTCGCACATACTAGGCTAGCACTCTACCGTTGAGCCACAACCCCAGCCCAGAATCTTAACATTTATGAGATGGTCTAAGTGTAAGAGGGCTGTTGATTTAAGAATTCTTTTCCTGCCCTCTTCCAGTGATGGAAAACTCATTTCTGCAGTTCATTCTGGGAATTCTCTATTAAGTATTATTTGTAATTCTCCAGGGTCATAGATGAGTTTTTCATAACATCCATTGCTGTCTTCTTTCTCATTGACAGCTGATAGCTTTACTTCAAATTTCGCTGCGGTTGTAGAAGCAATTTGAACAAATTACTGGCACCTTATAATATGTGCTGTACCTTACCTTGTGCATGGATGCTTTTCCCTCATAATTCCTCT